CAATAAGAAAAAGTTTGGGAATCTCTGCCCTAGAACTCTGGAATTCATAGGAAATTGTAGGATGACATACAGGAGCTTCCTTCTCCATTTGGAGGAAGGGTTCTTTGCCAACGGAGTCTTTAAAGTGCCCTAGAGCAGGAGACAAGGTTCCTTGGGTGAATTTGATATCTTTTATTAGACCAACCCAAATGGTTGGAGAATAGTTATTAAGCAAGCTTTCAGGTTCAAAAACCCTTCGTCAGGCTAAGGAAGCTGCAGCAGTTGGTGTGTGCTCTTCCTGGATGGATTGAAAAGTAAACAAGCCAGGGGCTGAGCTGGGCAGTCAGTTGCCAGGCAGATTGTATTGTATCAAAAATCTAAACCCCTGGAGCAGGAGACATTTTTGTTCCTGGCTAAAACATTTTTTTTAAGCCAGGAGTCAAAGATCAAGTTATGAACACAGGCCTGAAAGAGAGGCCTGCTGGGCCATCAAGTTTAGTCCCGGTATTCACAAGTGACCAGTTATCCTAAAGCAATCACAAGAACATGTACTCTAACACCACAACCACAAAGCACCTATTAAAAAGCCTTAATGTGCCATGGGTAAAGAACAGGCGACAAGAGTACAACCAACACCTTACCATGGCAGTAGCGTGCAATAGTTAGAACTTTCACTGAAATAAAGGTCTGATCTATGAACTTCCTCATCTAGAGAATAGTCAGGAGGATCTATGAAAGAATTCACTTGGTCCCTTTGGAACTGTGTTCTTTCTCTTCCAGATGTATGATGACTAAGAATGCCCGGTGGGACAAAAGTTTACAAGGCTTTACAGTAACAGGAGACAAAAAACCTAGGTCAAAAGCAGAGCGTTTCCTTGCCTTTTTTGGAGGCAGGTAGGGAACGCAAGTGTAAATTGTGATGGCCTGAACTTCATTTTGAACCATATAACTTTGTGGGATACATGGTCTTTGAAACACTGGTCTCCAGAGTATTCACATGCAGCTGATATTCTCAAATAGGTCCAGTGTTTTGAATGTGGAACCCCCCCTGAATTAATACTCTCTTTCAGAAAGGGCACTTTTGTAATAATTACAGTGTTGAGGAAAGTGCAAGGAATTAAAGACTATCCTTGGATTGTGAAAAAGCCTATGGGTCATCTGTCATATAGATGCTGTTTGCTTTCAAAAGAATCTCTGGGGCTGCGTATACACATTCAAATAATCTGTAAGAATTCTCCCAGATTTGTTCTCCAGGTAGAAAAACTTACCTGGAGCTATCTATAAACAGACATTCAAATGCTGAGCTCCTGAAGAACAGAGAGCTTTCAGAGATGACACTGCACAGCCAGGAAGGCCCAGTGCTCACATCTCAGCATGCCTGGAAATGGCAGCAGGGCAGAGGGCAGCCTTGATTGGCTAACAGACTGCTCAGGGTCTCCCTGCCCCATCTCCCTGCCGTACAATGTGGGGATTGTGAAGGAGCATGTTATGTTACTTGCTCAGCTGGAACAGTAGATCCAGCAAGCAATACAGTGCTCTGGACTGGGGAAGTGGGGAAAAACACCCTGGGAAGTTGGAGGACTGACATCGATACTCTCAGAAGAGGATGTGTACACAGATTACCTTTTCCAGGAGAAACCCTCCCAGAAGCCATTTAACCCTGGTTGTTCCTGGGTTATTTTTCTCTTAAAGTGGCCATTTTTGCTCTGAGAGAAAATCCTGAATATCTGTGGACTCATGGTTTCTACTGGTCCCTCCCCTGCCATCTGCCCATAGGGGTGTGCTGGTGCAAAGCTCAGTTGGGGCTCTGGAGCCCACAGGGGCAGCACTAGGGAGGATATGGGGGGCTACAGACACCCCAAAACTTCACCTTAGCCCGCCATAACCTAGCCCACCTGGGCTACAGCTGGCCCCCATGCAGCTGAGCCTGCTCCACTTCTGCCTGCAGCACAGCCTTCCCTGAGCCCCCACACTAGGAAGAGTCTGGTGCCACTGCTGCAGCCAGCCCAGGCCCTGGATAGCTGCTGCCAACTGTGGAGCTCAGGCCGCTTCCAGGAGGGCTTGCAGCCTCCCAGCCACCTGCTGTGAGAAGCCTGGGCTTTGTGGCTAGCAGCAACTGCCCAGAGCCTGGGCCAGCCATGGCGTGCCATGCTCTGGCACATGCGCTGGGGGTTGCTGATCCCTGTTTTAGGCCGATCTGTACATAAAAGAAATATACTGAAATAAAATTAAACCTTTACCCAGCTGAACTCAGTTTCTCAGATACTATGGGAAAGAGAATCTGCATCATCAGATCTCCAAATATGTCAAAACCTTACTTATGGTTTCATATGATTCATTACTACAGCCACAATCAAAGACAATCAAAGACTACTATCATTCAAAGGGAGATATCTGAATTCTGATACTGAGTATTAATTGAAATCATATTCACAACCTATTTATACTAATACTACTTTGAACAAAGGAAAACCTATTGTAGCAAGCTTGTCTTCTTTAGAGCTCTGATGGTCACCTTGCTTAACTCCACAATCAGTGAAACTTCTAGTATTCTGCACAAAAAGGAATTTGCTAAAAGACACTTTAGGCCAATATTTAAGCTTGGATGGGGAAAACATCTGAGAAATGTTAATTAACATTAACAGTAAACAGAGTTCAGCTTTGGAATAGGAGTACACAAGCTTTCCTGTACATGTGCATAGAAAATTGTATTTTTTTTTCTTCTGATGGATTGTTAATTTGCAAACAAATGGGTATACAAAATTTTAGAGATAATTCAATTAAATTTAAAAAAATCTGGTTACATTCCAGCCTTAAAAAAAAGACCCATCAGCTTACCAGTCCCAACTCTCAGCCTTAAAAAGAATAGCTCTAGATATCGTTTTTTTTAAATAAATCTTTTTTTCAAGTAGTCCCATATGTGAAAGATTAGGTACAATATCAAAAGATAGACCAAATATCAAGCAAACAAAAATGGTAAATTCAAGCGGGAATGAAAAACAAGTTCATATTTCACTGGCAGGGAGGGGGGCATCAGCAGCGGATCTCAATCAAAGCCTTCACTGCAGCCTGCCAAAGGCCGAACAATAACAAAGCATATCATTGTAACCGACTTTCCCTGTCTGGGTGTATTTGTTTCAGCTGGTACCACAAATTATCAGAATAGCTTAGAAGGTTCCCCTTTTGCTGGGTGCTGCACAAACACGAATGTAAAAATCCTACCAATAAAACTTTTAACAAATAAGCTTCATATATCCATTAAGGAAAAAAAAATCCAGTAGCTACAGCTACTCTGAAAATTCAGAACCAGTTCTTTAGCTGTGGTAAAAATCACTTTAAAAAATCCCTTATCTTTAAAAATCACTACATCACTACTGAAACATTTTGGGAAGAAAGCCTCATTATTCACAGGATGCACAGAAACAGATGCCAGAACTATCATGACCTCGTTGATTGTACAGTACCAGTCAACAGACAAAGAAACAAACCATATCATGTTGATTTCAGCTGCTTTAGAAACAAACATTTGGAATTAAGCAAAGATAAAGAAATGGATATTTGTTAAATAAAACTGACAAACTAAGATGAGAAATACTTTCAGAGCTACTAACAGTTGGATATTACAGCTGTTTTATACGCTTAAAGAGTCATTTATAAATGGTTACTTTTTGATTAATAGGTTTGCATCTCTATGCATTATTTGGTCAACTCAAAGAGAATACAATAATATTTAGCAGATACAGATGATATGCGGGAAATTCCTATTTAAAAGTAGGGGGGGAGGGAGGGGGCAGAAGAAATCTGTCAAGTTTTCCTATGTCTTTTACATGTAAATTCTTGAAGCAGGACTTCTTTTACTGTGCATAACTCAATGGACTTAATCCTAAAGTATCTAAAACAGTGGTGCAACTTCAAAGGGTTAAGGATCAGGCATTTAGCATATAAAAACCAAAAAATAGATTTAGGATTTTTTGAACCAAAATAACGTCTCCCCATCCCCCAAATGAGTGTACAGTGATTAAGGGATTAATCAACAATGTTTTTTAATTACATGAGCATAGAAACATACCTTGTAGTTCTCATTTTGGCAGATAAATTTCAAGTATCAAATAATCCAGAAGCATTTTCCAAAGCCCTGCATTTTGTTACACTTAAAACAATTTTCATGTAGCAGATTTTAACCTCCAGTACATACCTATATATGCAACCTACCACAAAATTTAACAGATTACTGCCAAAATGGCACATCTGAATCAGAACTATTAGAATTAAGAAACAGGGAAAAGTTCTGTTCTTTTGCTGGGGGAAACAACAAAGCAAGTGCAAGGGTGGTTTGTATTCATAATGAATCTCATAAATAAAGGAAATCATGTTCATAGTTCTTCATAAAATACTTTTTCCTCCTTTTGTTTACAGTCCTGTGAGGTTCCGTTCATTAAAAAACAGGAAGAGAGAGAAAGGCAGGAGCAGTCAAGACCATCTCTATTGTATTTACTTCCAGAAGTTTTACACGGATTAGAAAGTATTATATGAACAAGTGAGCATGAAGTCTTTTTCAACAGATACAGAAAAACTCACAGAACATGTGAATGTTTCCTTGACTGGGTTACCCAGCACCTCATTTCCTTTCTGCATGCCTATACTTACTGCAAAAAAGCCATTTTAACGTGACACCCAGCATCAATTCTGCACTAAGAGTTTAGCCTTTAATATTCCAGAAAGCCTGATAAATTGTTTGCTTGCTTGCATTTAAGAATCAAATACTTTCAAAACAATAACTGGCTTTTCATGCTGAACAGATTATAAACACTGCCAGTAATAACTAAATTCTGAAGACTGACTGCTAGAAATAGAAATTAGTGTAATGATCCGCTTGCATCATAACAAAATCATTCTATACTGAATATAAACAAATCTGCCTCCAAGTAAACTGGGAGGAAAACAAACAATTCAATACAGCAATTTAACAGATCCCCAAATCTCTTGTTAATTTATTGGGTCCTTATGGGAAAACTGATTACCTCCATCGAGATCCGTCTGTGTATCCGGTTTCTGAGGCAAACACCTGTAGGAGACTGAACTTCATCAGAGGATGTCCCAGAGGCTTGGTCACTTTCACCATCTGATCCCATTTTCAGATTTTCGTGCACAATATCTAAGTAAAAAAGTTGATTATTTTTGTAAATAGGTCTCATAAGTGAAGACATTCTATATCTTTGTTGCACGCTGCTTTACATGAGAGCCTGAGGCATTATTATAATACATTCCTTATGAGGTAAAAAAGGCAAAAATAAAAGTTAAAAAGGATTAACCAATAAAAATACCACATAAACATTCCCATTATTATTCTTAATTATGCTGCAGTAGCTTCACATACTGTGTGTATTCCAAAAACAACAGAATCTCAGCCCCCAAATCTATATTTTTATAAAATATTTTCCTCCAATCCTTAAAAACCTTGAATTCCTTCACTTCCTCGCCTCCTTTTTCTGCTCTTAGAACAGGAAAACTATGTTTGCTAAGGAAACCTGAGCGTTCACAGAAAATGTGAGGGCTACTTAAAATGTCTGATGCCTAGGGCAAAAATTTTCATATGTACGTACCTAGCGTTAGGGACAAAAATCCATATTTAGACAGCTAAAAAACCAGGTGGCCTCATTTTCAGAGATGCTAAACATGGGAAGTTGAGAGAATCAGAACCTCTTTTTATGGTGCCTAAATACAGATTTAGGATGAATAAGCAGACTTAGCAGATGACTTGATGTAACTATGTCCTTATTTCTATAGCAAAGTGAAACTGATGAACTTGGGTAGAGTTAAACTAAACAGTAATTTTGCCTCAAGCTTATGGCTGGATCCATGTAGAAAAGTCTAAAGACCTGGAATTAAGCTTATGGAAATAAAAACCCAAGCTACTTTAACATGCTTACAGTTTGTCTCACAAGTTCTGGCCTGCTGAAAGAAAAGTACCTTTTTCTTCCTTGAAGGAAGCATTGAAAATGTTTACCTCATTTTAAAAACTGGAGGCACTTTGCTGTGAGCTAAAGCAGTAAGACAAGATTTTCAGAAATGGGTGATTAAAAGTCAGCCTCATTTACACAATGAGGCACCCAAATAATTGTACATATTTTCTGAACTGATGAGCAAACACTCCAGCTCATTACTCTTCCCCTTTGAGTCTCTAAAAAAAAAAATGTTCACTACTTGTTATGCTATTTAACAGCTACTGTGTTTAAAACTATCCACAAGAAGTTACATGAAAAAATATTTTGGTGGATCTAAAAACATTACTGAAAATACTATCTTCAGCATAAGTGTTGGTCTCAAAACTTTTAATTGGACAACAGCACATGCAGTTTTTCAGCTGTTTTATAAAACAAAAGAGCCTTCTGTGAGCAATGGCATCTATGTTGGCAAATATTGCTCTGAAGCTTCTAGTTCTGTAAAAGTTAAGTATAATGACTGCTGTTGTTCACTGGGCTGATTTTGCTTATGTTTGCAGAAGTCTATTTATACAGCCCAAAAGCTGATTTTCTTTTTAAAAAGAAAAGGCACATTTGTTTTGTGAACTCAGTACAATGACTAATAATTCTTTCTTAACTGTAGTTAATTCTTGGAATATTTTAATAGTTATGTCATGATTTTGAGAGATACTGATGCATACAGGAAATGGACCATGTGATTGCAGGTCATGGCTGATAACATGAACCACATTTATGCACCATTGATTGACTTACTGGCACAAATCTATGCCTCTGGGCATATACTACACTTAACTAAGACTAGGGACAGGCATTCAAATCTCTGAAATTTGTAGCACTAGAAAACATGGCAAGCCAAGGGGGTGTTCCAGTTGCATGACCAGAGAGAGAAAAAGTTGTTCCAAGGTGAGCTCTCCAGTAAGGTGGCAATAGGGAGCTGTTTCTTCATTACTTCCATCTCCACAGCAAACAGACTTGTTCCAGCTGATACCATCTGGGAATCAGCTGGCAGTAGCTGTGCTGCCTCTGCTGCCTGCCTCTTTCACAGATAAGGACCACCCCCACATATGCAAAGGGTAGGAAGCAAAGTGGGTGCTGCTAGGCCACCCTATGCCTGACTACAGGTCACCCTGGAACCATGTATGGAATGAGAAGCCACCCAGGTCCAAGATGGATGCATCTGTGGAATATCCTCCAGTCTCTAGAGCGCAGTCCCCAGAATGTTTAAGCAGCAACACAGTATCTACAGGGCTCACTGACAGCTCACTCTGGGTTTGCCATCAGGAAGCCACAGATCTCGCTCCCACTTCATGGGATATCAGAGGACTGCGGAATGCTGGGGGTATCCCAGTATTGAGTTAAGCATACCAATTAACCCCATACTGGGATACCGCCAGCATTCTACTGATTAAAAGTCAGCCTCAAGCTGCTGCCAGAGAAGAGAGTTCTTTCGGGTAAGAAGAGCGCTCTCTCTTTTTTTATTTTTAACAGAAGAGCCGGTTAACTTCTGCAAAAAACAAACAAACCCTTGCTCTCATTTTGTGCCAAGAGAAACCCATTTTACCCAGCACAAAACGTAATGCCTGTCCACAGCCTAAGTTGCCTACAAAAAGGGAAAAACATATCAATAAATATCTAAGAACATGGACAAATGTACCCCTGGAGTATTTTCAAAAGGAGAGGGGGAGCTGCTGTTCAGGAGTGCACAGCAGCTGTTATACCTTAACTCAGGGGTGAGCAAAATATGCCCCATGGGCCAGATCCACCAGCTGATTGGATCTAGCCCGCAGGTGGACACCTACCAGTTAACTGCATCAGACTCGTGCCCCGGCTGTACCTGGTGTACGTGTAATGGGGCTAAGCCCCACCGCACTCCTGCCCAGGCCAGCGCACGGTGCTCCCATCCTTACCTCTAGGGCATAGTTTCTCAATCTGTGGTACATGTACCCCTGGGGGTACACGAGACAGGCATGAGGTATGCAGGTACCCCAATACTCTCTCTCTCATCCTCTTTTCCTCTCAAAACTATGGCAAAAAATGTGGTGTGCCGCACATTGTGAGGTGCTTTAAATTCCCCAGTAATAATCTGGCGTACCGTGTTCTGCGCAGCACTGGGTTCAGCCCTCCTAGCTTTGGCCAACATCACCTCTAGCCCAGGTACATACTTGAGTTGTGCATCCCTGGTGTAAAAGGTGGCAACCTGCCTCTCACCAGATCAGACATCTGTCATATCACAGCCTTATATACACAGCCCTTCTTCCAACATATAGCACACATTAGTCTGTAAATATAAAATCCCCTGGAAAATTGAGTGTTGGGGTACTTATTAAAATTTTCAGAAGTTAGGGAGTACTTGATACTTAAAAGGTTGAGAAACACTGCCCTAGGGCCCAGCCCCAGCCAGCATTCAGTGTCCAGATGGGGCTGCTGCTGCAGCCCCAGAGAACTGCTTGGCTCCCTCTCCTTTCAGTAGCCCATCCTCCTGTCTCTGCTGCAGTGCTGTAGGCAGCAGACAGGGAGGGGAAGCAGCAGCATTGCTGGGAAAAGGTGGGGGTACTTTGCCTGCAGCTCACCACCCTCCAGTCAGCCATGGAGTTGTTTCTACAGCTGGAGGCAGAAGAGAGCCGCTCCTCAGAGGCACGAGAAACATGGGGCTGGGACCCTTTGCTTTGGTCCCACTCATGCGTGGCTTGGGGGCTAGGTGTACAGAGGAGTTTGACTGCCTCACAAAGCAAAAGGGGTTGAGAGCCTGGCACATGGCTACACAAGACACGCAGGTGAGATGGGCGCAACAGCAGCAGCAAGAGCCAGAGTGGGCTCAGCTGCAGCTCTGCTGGGCAGGCGTGGGACAGAAGCCAAGGGAGTGGGCAGCACCAGGCTTGGCTGCCCCCCCCCCCACTTTTGCAGCATGCTGTGAACCAGGTAGGCAGTGCAGACTCCTTCCTACCCCCTGCCTATGGAGGAGCTCGGCTCAGCCAAGTCACAAAAAGCAGGCAGGGAGAAAGCTGAGTGGCTCCTGCCCTAGTGTGCGGAGCTCCAACCCCCGGCCACCTTCTATCCAATTCCACCTGTCTGCCACAATCAGTAGCCTCCTGTGGGCAGCTGGATGGATGGATGGTGGCCCCTCCAGGAACCCACACCACACCCCACCCCCATCATACCCACACACACCCCACTCCCTGCCATACCCACCCCCACCAAACACCCCACCCACCACCATACCCACAGCCCAGCACACACCCCCAACCAATATAGAAAAGAGTAAGACTATTTTGAGCTATTATGCAATCATCTTTATATGCACGACTCCAATACACAAATCAGGACAAAAACATTTTTTAAATAAAATTAAACTGTCACAGTAGATATTTGATTTTCAGTATACGATTTGTTCTTTTAATCTATACTTTGTTAAAATGATTTCTTGTGAAAGGTTGTGTGTGTGCGGCCCTCAATTTGATTGGTTTGGCACCTTTCTTGGGGAGCTCCAACGCCCCTCAAAGCCCCACTTGGTTGAGGGTGATGGGACAGGGTGATGGGACAGGTCGTTAGAGGAGGTCAAAATCCTTCACTACCTGATAGGTTGTGCCTGTGCTTCGTGGCCTGGAGGGCAGAACTTAAAATCATAGAAAATGAGAGTTGGAAGGGACCTCAGGAGGTCATCTAGTCCAAACACCTGTTCAAAGCAGAGCCACCCTCAACTAAATCATCCCAACCAAGGCTTTGTCTAGCTGGGTCTTAAAAACCTCCAAGGATGGAGATCCCACAAGCTCTCTGGGTAACCTGTTCCAGCATTTTACTAACCTCCTAGTAAGAAAGTTCTTCCCCATTATCTAACCTAAACTTCTCTTGCTGGGCCCCCAGGAGCAAGCCATACTCCATGAGGGTGGGCCCTGCGGAGAGGCAGTGTTTTCCAGTCAAGGGGTGGACCTTCTGATGTCAGGGACCATCTGATGGGGGCAGGGGATTCTGGGACCAACATGATGGCAAGCAGAGCAAGGTTTGGCATCAGATGAGTGGGCCTTCTTATGGCATGGACCATGTGACAGGGCAGGACTTCTGGTTCCAATGGGGCAATGCCCCCGCTCCCAGAGTACTTAGGCAGCAAGGGGACAGACTTCAAGGGTCAAAGGCAGGGGTAGGACTTCTGGACACAAAATGGCAACTGGGGCTA